TGCTGGCAGAGGTTGGTATGATCTGATGCACGGTTTTACAATAACATTCTGGCTGTAGTGTTGACAAAAGATTAGACAAAGGGCCTAAGCAGGTAGACGAAGAGAAGAAACAAGAAAAAAAAAAAACTGGAGATTTAGATGCTGTGTGATGGTGACTTCAACTGAGGTAGTAGCAATAAACACAGAATGATAAAAATCTCATAGAAAAGTAAAGAGCGGTCTAAGGTTGACCACTTATGAAGGTTTTGGTCATGAATCAAGATTATGGAGACATAACTGAAGGCAAAATCTATGTTTCTATTGTATTTTTTCCAGGTAGCATTTTCTATTCTCTTCTTCCTTGGCTTTCTTCAACACAAACACAAAATAAAAAAGCATCTTTCAGTCAAAAGGAGTGGAACCATACTCTGTATTTATTCAGATTTATGGTTCTTACAATAGAATTAAGTAGGTTGTCATCAATGAAGATGGCTTTCCCTAAAAATATTTTTGTGATGAATGACCAGAAACTAAATTGATATTAAAAAATGAAATATAAAGGGCCGGGGATTTAGCTCAGCGGCATACGCATCTGCCTGGCAAGCACAAGGTGGTGAGTTCAATCACTGGTAACAAAAATAAATAATAATTTTATTATAGAAGATAACTGCTTCAGCTTGAGATTTTTGGAAAATGATGAAATGTTTTCATTTGACAGGCCCATGAAGCTAGTCATCTCTATTTACAGTTACGATGCTTACTATGTTCTTCTTAGCGTGCTCACCATGATAGCTGTGTCCCTTTTAACTTGCTGTATAAGGTGCTGGCTTTTGCTTATTCTCCTTGATATAAAGAACTGGTTAACAATCCACAAGAACACTCCCTCCCCACCTTTTTGCATTAAAAGAACTTCAGGCAGTAGATAAAGTGTTTTTTTTTTCTTATTTCTAGCTGTAAAAGAACATAGTTTACAGCTGCATTTTTCATAAATAGGAATTTTTGTATATGAAATATATTCTGTGTGAAGCTGGCTAGTTCTGCCTTCTGCTTTCCTTCATTTTATAAAATGACCAAAATAGTGTTTCTATGTTGCAGTATAAAGGCACATTGAGAGTAAGAATCTGAATAATCAAGATCTTACTACTATCAACTCGGTTTATATTTTTCAGGGAGTAGTCTTAAAATCACCTCATCCAAGGAAGGACAAAGCTTCCTTTGTTATTATATTTTTTTCCCCCATGCCTTGGTATTTTGTTTTGATTTTTCACTTCCTTTCTGTAGGTGATTTACATTCCCCAAAGACTATGAAACTACAGGGCTTAACTTTCTCATGCATATATATATATATATATATATATATATATATATCCTCTCAAATATTCCCTACCCAATAGAAACACATTTAGATAAACTCACTGTAGCTAAATGGGTATTTGAAATAAAAAAAAATGAAGCAAATCATCTGAGAGGAAACTAGCTATCAAAAATAATCAAGCAAAAATTTTATTATAGAAATGGTTCTTCCTAGTAAGAAAATGAAACTAATCAAAGATGTTGTCTTTGCTTATATCTAAAATTTCTTATTTTTTGCTTAAGAAATTATAAATATTATTATAAATAATACTTGCTGAAATCTTTGTCAAGGAATAAAAATTTAGTAGAATAAACTATAATTCTGTATTTCCATTGTAGTTGATTTTTATACTATAAACATGATACACTACCTATTGTTTGATGATATAATTATTACACAGACTTCCTTATTCGGTACTGTGAAGCCCACAAGAACCAAGTTCAGGTCTGCAGAAGTTTATCTGCTAGTTAGAGATACTCTCCCATCAGAAATAAGGGAGGTGGACAATAAATGTAAAAATAACCAAAAAGATCTGGAGGTGAAGACAGTCAGAGAGGATGGGGCAGACATCTGGCAGACACCGAGGCATGAAGGACTGAAAAAATACAAGTTTGAGAGAGAAACTTCCAAACAGTAAAGCTAAGGCAAAAAGGACCATTAAGTTGAAGTGTTAATGAAACAAAAAGGCTTCTGGTTTGCATACAGTTTGTAAAAAAGAAAAATAGAAGATCAAGCCACATGGTAAGAGAAAGATCAAATAATGGGCATTCATAAATCTATATGAAACAGAGTCAACAAGAAGCAAATCTATGAAAAAATAAAATGAAAAAAATAAAGTGACAGTTTGGCAGATAGGAAGACCAGGTACGGGGCAATTGTAACCAGCGTGGCAAAATAGAACTTCATTAGATGTTTTTCTTTAGAGGCAAACTATTTCATCAGACCTAGTAAATAACCACACACCCACTTTTCCTGAGCCCGGGAGAATGGATGGGATACACAGACACTGGCCCTGGGAGTCAAAATTCTATTTCATTTGCACAGTTAAGGAAGGAAAAATTTGGGGTTCAGGGAGGAATGAAACAAGTCTGGGCATATCTAATGTCTCATGTACCCCCTCCTCCACTGTTCCTTGATATAAAAGACCCCACACACCCATTCACAGTGAGATGTCGATTTGTGACACATGAGGCTCTTTCATCTCCTCAGCATTAGCTTTGAAGAAATCCTTTTTGCTTTTCACCAATATAAATGGTCTCCTTTGATTTGGTCAGCAGTCAGCAAATGAGTTTAAGCCTATGGATTTAATCCTGTGGCCAATAACATAATGACATAAATTTATAGGCGAAAGAAGTCTAGATTAATTAGTATACAGAGAAAAATTGGGACAAGAGTAGTCAACATTTCCTTAATAAGTTTAGGAAATTCTAATCACTCTTAAGATTAATCATAAGCACCATCTCAGAAAAACTTGGGTATTTTCAAAAAAAAATTCTGTACTTTCTCTTTGTTTAAATGTCATAATTTGAACTCTTATGATCTGTAAGTATTTATATTCATGTCTGCCTTGATTTCCTGAAATATAAGCTCTCTAAAGACAGGCTCTAAAGACAGGGATGCAAGCTTTAATTCACACATTCTTGGTTCCTAATAAATCCTAATAAGCAGGTATACTCATTATATAAAAGGTGAGATAAATACAGAAACTATAAAGTTAGGTGAAATTAGGCAACTGGAGACCAATCATACCATATCACATGTGTTATCATCAACAGAAATTAATCTTAGAAAGAGAACCGAGAACTAAAATTAAAAAAAAGAAAACTCTATCTTTTGGAAGTGTTGATTAAAAGAGTTCAAGAGGACCTAACAGCTTAAACAGTTCTTTCTTATATTTTTAGATGTGTGTGCTAATATTCACAACAGTGGACATTTACTTGAGAGTTTGAACTATGAGGTTTTTTTCATGTATTCTCGTTTCTAAAAGGGAGTGATCACAGAACCCATCTGGCAGTCAACCGCACTTACTAAGCATGCACAATGTGCAGCAAGCAGAGACACTGGTGAAAGCGATTGCCAGACAGAGATATCAGTGTCTTTGAAAAGTAACAATCTCTTTAGACAGACAGGAATAATGAAAAACTGCAACCAGAGTCATTTTCCCATCATACGCACAGATAAGGAAGGTTGACACTTCGGTGATTTCACTACGCTGCTATGCTGTCAAGCTACAAAGCTGCAGTGTAGAAATTTTCAGCCAAAACAGTAAAATCAACTTACATCTAGTGTCTGGCAGAATAAACAAGGAATTGTATTTGTTTTCATTTCAAATATGTGCCCTGGACTAAGTCACATTGACAAACGATATATTTACAGATATTATATATATAGTTTTTTCTTTACTCTTTAAATTTGAATTTATTAGCCTACTTGAAATTGAATGATTGCATCCAAACAAATATTACGGGACACCTGTAGCATTAAAAAAAGTGTATGCAATGAATTTGAAGAAATTCATTGATTTTTTTCTGGAAAACACAGTGACCTTGTGCGTACTACATCAAACCTAGATCTTACATTTCCATAAGGGAAATAAAGTACATGATCTAATTAAAATTATATGAAATCTATATTTTAAATTATTACCTTGGTAAACAGGGAAGTTGGTATAAGTAAGGTAATATTTCATTATGTATTGATTCATGTCCCTCAAAAATGAAAGCAGAATATTTTATTTTGAATGGACAATAGTCATAAAATGTGCCTATTTCAATAGTCTAATGCCAGAATGCAAATTTATATTGTCCTTTAATTTATATTGTCCTTTTATTTATATTGTCCTTTAATTGAGGGAAGAAGTAATTTTTACTTTTACAGTCTATTTACCTTTCAATATTATATAATGTACATCTGATACACTGTTCATTAGTATCATCTGAAAATCCAGAAACACATTTAAAAATGTGCTACCTGATAACCTTTTAAAAAATAATTCAGGCCAGGGATTTAGCTCAGTGATTCAAGTGTTTCCCTGGCAAACATGAGGTTGTGAGTTCAATCCCCAGTACCAAAAATAAATAAATAAGTAAAATACTAATAATAATGTTAATTGAGCAGATATAAATGCCTTACTAAAGAAAATAACATCTATATATTTATTTGAAGTCAAAATAATAGTCTAATAGAGACTTACTCAAATAACTAAAACAGATACCAAGAAAAATGATCAATACTTCTAAAAAACAATGCAGTAATGGTGGAATGAAACTCCAAGTATCTCATAAAATGTGTAAACCAAAAATACAATAGCTTCAGTGTGCCTGGAAACAACTAAGCTCCCAAGCAAATCATCCTTATTAGTTCCTATTCATGATTTAAATTATGCTATTTTATCTCTTCATGACACACAGCATTTTTAAACCCTCACATTTCTAGGCATTTTAGCTTCTGCTGACATAAATGCATTCCCCAAATAGAATATTACAGCAATCTTTTGCCAGACATTTAAGCCCATTTGTGCATCTACTTTTTAGGATGCTTTTTTTCTTTTTTGAAACTTCTACTGTGAGACGCTTGGGAAGGTATTGTTAGATTGAATGAGAACTTGTTTTCTAAAGCAACTAGACACTTGATCTATCATGAAAAAAAAAAAATCACAGCCTCCTACCTTGAAAACAAACATCTCACGGCGAAGAATAGCTAGCGTGTTAAAGTTCCCATCACAGATGTTGGGCTTGGCTCCAGGGTAGGAAGGTCTGCCAGTGGGAGGCCGTGGAGGCTTCGGCCTGTCATGTTTCCTTGGGTCCACTGGAGGAATAGAGCGGTGAGGGGGCACTGTCGGTAGGGGTCTTGTAGGTGGAGGGATCTTGTCAGGTGGACCTTTTGAAAACATGAGGACAGTGCTTGGCTCACTTAAAACTGGAATAGTGCTGGAAAATATGCTACAGAGAACAATCACTTATCAGCAAAGGCCACAGACTAAGCAAGCTAAGTGGTCTTAAGATCCTTCATTTTCTGAGAAAAGTGAATCATTTTACCCACCAAACCACTGCCAAGTTTCTAAGACATTCTCCTTATCACACTAGTTCTGAATCCATGTAATTGACATTTCTTTGTTCATTTTTAAATGACTTTTAAAATAGCTTCTCCTTGCTCCTTATTTGAAAACTGCTATCAAGTGTTTTGTTGGAAGTGGGTGGTACATATGAATATTGGAGTAAGCTTCACCAAAATTAATCCTGAATTTTGACAGAAAATGACTTTCTGTGAATTTTCAAGAGAATAATCTGTGATCAAAATTTATATATTATATCTCTATATTTTCTAATGTTTGTTGCCCTATTTTCTACTAAAATGTTGGACAAATGGCTAGATGCATATTTTATTTAAATATCAAATCTAAAACATCCACTTATTAAAAATACAACCAGTAAAAATTAATGCAGGGAAGTATTTCCAAAATGAGGTTTCTAAATTAAGCCAAAATTTACACATATAATTTGGCACAGATGTTAAATATCACTCCTCAAGGAAGTTAGGTTTTCAAAAAGAAATACAAAGCTGTCCACAATATTTAGATACAGGAAAGATATTCTTTTGTAGACTTTTAGTCTAGACTACTAATTAATGAGATCATAAAGAATTTTTTTTTTCAGTCAGCTACGCAAGATGAATGCCTGATGATATACACTTAGGTGTAGAAGAGTCCAATTCGACATAGAAACTATTCAATGTTCAGGCATGTGTCTTTTCCTAGTTCTCAATGAAACAGAAACAATCACAAAGTTGACCTTTTTTTTTTTTTCCAAATCTATTTTAACCCTGAGATAACGCTAAAACTTATATATTAAAACTGAGAGACTAATGAATGCAACATAGGGTAGTTAACTTGAATTACACTGTGTAAAAATGCAAATGACACCTTTTGGATACTTGATATTAACATACAGAGTACATATTTGTCTTTGTATTATAAAAATGAAATCTTCACTTCATTAATTTAGTAAAGTCGGCTTGTTATATGTAAATTGTAAATGTCAAGTTGTTAATAATTATGCGAAATAAATGTCTTTATAAAGGTCAATGGTAATGCTAAGTGAGTTAAAACTATAGTAAACATGAAGGATAGTCTTCGCCATGTTAATTTGCATTTACTATGTGAAACCCATAAATAAAAAGTTTTCTATATTAAAAATTTATTTTGAAGTATGTTAATAAATGTATACATTTGTTAACTTTTACTCCTTCATAGGTTAACTTTCACTTTTCATCAATAATATTATGCCTTTGAGATAAATTTGTTGTATCTCTTCCATAATGGTACTTTCTTGACTTTCAAAATTCTTCTTTCTTGGAACTACCTAACATCAAATCTCAGAAATTTTAAACCAATCTTTTGATTTGTACCAAATATCTCAGCATCTTATATGAAAGTCTTACATTTCCTACTACTTTTATTTATTATTTTCACTCATTTTATACTTTGACTTGAGTCTTAAATATGAAAGTTTTTTGCATTTTTGGTGCCTAAGATCTTCCCATAACCTATACCATAATATCCGAGACTACTGTGAACAAAAATAAATTGATAGAATTTTTCCAGTAGTCCAGATATTTTTCTTTAGGTTTTCTCTGCCTCACATGTTTAGAGCATCTACTTCACAGAAGCAGGCCAAGAATCCTGGACTTCACTGCAGGACTAACCAAACAGAAATAATGTCAACCTACCATATATCTTCTGAATGCCCTGCAAATCATCATTAGGAAGTTTGAAGTTGTCTGTTTCCATATACTGGTAAAATGGAGCCATGATGGCAGTGGGATCATTGGAATGTTCCAGTCCCAAAGCATGTCCCAGCTCATGAACTGCTACGAGAAATAAGTCATTTCCTGTGAAAATGACAAGAATGGAAATTAGTGATATACAAGCAAGAAACTGCTGAAAACAATTTAGCATTGAGGCTGGGGATTTAGTTCAGCGGCATAAGCACCTGCCTTGCAAGCAGGTGGTCGTGAGTTCAATCCCTGGTACCGATAAAAAGTTAAAACAACAACAACAACAACAACGACAACAACAACAATTTAGCATTAGCAAAATATTACCCCCGCTAAAAATAAAGTGAATTGTTTACTTCATCTGGATGAAGTTATCAAGGCATTACTACCAGCAAAATTCAATTCTTATTTTAAAAAGGTGATAATGATATAAAACATTATAAAAAATTATAAAACTTTAGAAAATGGAAAAGAACAAAATAAGAAATGCAGGATCAGAAACTGATACTACCAAACTGCTCTTAAAATATTCTTCCAAATATACAGTACATGGTACATGATATCTAACTTTTATAACTTTCACATATAACCTAATAGGACTTATTTACACATAACATAATTCTGTCAACTTTGTGAAAATCTTAGGGCAGATATAATCTCTGCTTTTATATAGATGAGTAAATTAGGCACAGAGGATGTACATGCTTAGAACAGCAGATTCTAATATTTATACAATTGTAACTAGAACTATAATGATTCTGATTGTAAGATTAAGGCTTTAACTTATTGCTTGCTATAAGTACAGAGAATACAAAAATGCAGAAGACTTAAATAAAAGCTGTCTTCTAATGATCATATTAACAGGAATTTCAATCAGAGCTGTAGAAATATCAATTCTCCTTAATTCACGTATGATTCTAACAAAATATATAGATTTAAAAATTGCTGTATTGCTCCAAAAATTCTTACTGTAAACCTGCATAGTATTACTGCAAATTCTGCAGATACCTGATGCGGCTGAGTGCAGTTAAAAGTCTGTTGAGGACTCTGTGTCTATCTCCTCCTGGATTATCCTAACTAACCACACTTTGAAGAAAAGAGTCCCATAGCCATACTTGCTAAAAATTTAGTTGGATCATGGGAGTAAGATTGTTATATCTCTAAGTGAAAGTTAACATGATTGCTGATGGATTACTTGCCACAAATGCAGATAATTTCAATGAATGTCACCTTAAGGAAAATTCTTTTTCAACAATTTTTAGAATTCACACTGCTAATTCCCTAGACAGCCCTATTTTTTTTTAAACACAAATAAACATTTTTCCCACTCTGGGGTAATCTATCATGGAGAAATAGATGAAATCATGGGCCTGGCTCTTTATCAACATTAGCACACTGAACTTGCACCACTGAAACATTTCCAGGGAATTACCTGATTCTCAAAGAACAATTGATTAACTGCTGGTCTGAAATAAATTCAGAATTTTAAAAATGAAATAGGAATTGCCATTTTTGGCCTCAAAGAACTTACTTTCTCTTATTATAAAATTACTTATTTGAAAATGAAGACACTGAAAAATGAAGCAAATTATATATATATATATATATATACACTACAGTAAGCATATATTATCTACAAAAAGCTTATTATGCTATAGGCATCATAAATATTTTATTTGCATTTTTTCATTTAATTCTTCTAACAATACTGTAAGTCACCCAGTCACTTTTCCCAGCTCCATTTTTAAAATGAGAAAACAAGGCCTGGAGACAGCATATACATGTTTCTAAGTTAAATAGTAAGGCAGAGTTGTATTCACACTTGTCTCATTCTGAGTCCAGAGGTTATATTTTAATTATTACCATAGATTGCACAGTTAGTATGAACAGCAGATTAGTAATATAGTCATATGAAAAAAAATTTCATCCTTCAAATAGTGCATTCATTCTATGACTGTCTTGCATGCCTACTGTGTGTTAGGCACATATCTATGATTGACAACATAATAACGAACAAATAAAAAAACCTTGCCTTCATAGCACTTAAACTCTAACAAGCAGAGACTGGAAAGAAAGACGGTAGAGGCGTGAAGCAGGTGCTAGCTACAGCGATAAGTGACAAGGAGTAACAAACGATAGTGATGATGAGGTCAGAGTAGGAATGTGGGCTAGAGCATGTGTGGCATTTTAGATAATACTCAGAGTTTGGCTTCTAATTTAACAAAACTAGGAAGCACTGAAGCCTTTTGAGGAGGCAAGTAACACCATCTGACTTCCATTTTCCCAGGATCACTGGTAATTACTTCTGAGAGAACTGACAGCAAGGGACGAGGGAAGCAGTATGATCAAGATCTGGAGTTACTTAAATAATTCAAACAAAACAGCTGTCAGCCTGGGTGAAAGCAGCAGCGCTGGAGATAGACAGCAGTGAGTGATTCTAGATACACTGAAGGATGAGTCACAGCACTTCATATAGATATGGTGCTAGGAATGAGAAAAGAATACGGTCCAAGATAACGCGAAGATTTTGACCCAGCCAACAGGAAGAATGAAATTGAAATCACTGATGTGGGAAATTACCACCATAAAGAGGGCTGGTTGTTGGTGCGTGCGTGTGTGTGTGTGTGTGTGTGTGTGTGTGTGTGTGTTAAATATGTGATGGAGATTGGAGAGGACCAGAGTTATCAGATGCTCTGTTTTTTGAGTGGTAACTCACAGATGATTTTTAAATGTTTAGTGATTAGAGATGTCAAATCCAACTGGATACATGCCAAAGGGATTTAGGAGGCAACTGTAGACTAGAAGTATAACATTAAGACAGATGAGCGTGGTTAGGATAAAACACATGGGTTAGTCTCAGAAGCATGCACAAATTAACTATAGGAATAAAAGACAGGGTATCATCTAACACACAATGAATAAAAATAGGAGATAGTTATTCATAAATAAATATGGAAACTACATTATGCAATTTAGGGAGAAGACTTCTTAGGATTTTGTCTCAGAGGATAGTCATAAGTGAGAAGAAAAGACACTATAGTAATTGTTAGTTGCAGAATTTTTAACCCCAGCTCTAAAATAAAGAACATTTTTATGTCCAATCACAGTCACATTTAAATGCAAATCTCATACTAGCCAATGCCTTTGGAATGAATCTGACTGCCACCTGAAATATTATGTTATGTATTAGGAAGATAGACAGGAGCATGCTACAGGCTAACTGGAATTAACTCCCCTTGGGCTGAGAGGGAAAAGGAACTCTTACTAAGAGCAGACCCACTGGCAAAATAAAGGACAATTACAGCAGGCAAAGGACCAATGGAGATCAAGTATTGAATCTGGAAGAAAACCTCTAAGAGATGGCACTGAGTTGGTTGTACAATGAACAGCTGGCCAGATCAGAGCTTAGCAGAAAGATCTGGTTCAGAGTGTAGCCTTAGCGTTTTGGCACTTTCTTTTGGCACAACAGATGCTTCTAGTTTAGAAAAGTCTTAATGTGGCCTTTCAAGAGATACACTTTTTTTTTTTTCCCTCTGAGAAAAAAAGCTTTACCAGTTCTTCTGCGTGTCTCAGGTCAAGTCCTCTAATTAGAAAAGAACATACCCGGAGCACTGCTCCTAGATAAACACTTAAGAGCTAATCCTAACACTCTGGCAGACAAACAGCACTTTCAGTCACTCACTAAACTCTTGGCTAGGAGCCCAGCAGCGTCATTAAAGTCATTTTATATCATCAGATATTTCACTGGGAAATAATCTCTTGGTTACAATTATTTTCTTGGCTAATAAGAGGAATATAGAAAGACAAAAATAAAACAGACCTAAGAGTCATCAGTTTGGAAGAGTGCTAGTAATTTCACTTCATGCATCTGTTCATATCAAATGAGTTAAGTATTTCCTAATCACCATTTCCAATGGGTGGAGTCACTCCTTATCTCAGGAGTAAGGTTTTAGAAGAAAGTTAGGATCAGGATATGAACTTATGACCTACGGAGTATGTCACAGCACTTATCATCAGAAATGCTGGCCAAGGGCTCCAAGTCATTGTCATGCTTCAAATGATTGGCAATAATGTAATTAAGCACTACTCCCAGCTCCACAATAGTTTAAAAGGGCAAGTTGTTAAATAAAGTACAGCCCTATGATTTGAATTCCAGTAGGAACAAAAGTTGTTGGCACATGATGGGATTTAGACAATTAGAATGCACAAGACCTCTTTCTTAGCAATGAAAATAATAACTACTTCTGTAACTTATCATTAATTCACATTATTTGAGATTCTGGATTCTAATATGCCTTGATCTTATCACCATCCATGCAACAAAAAGAAATCAGGCTTTTGGTTCTTTGTACAGAAATAGTACTTGCTTCTTTTGCAAGATTTTGAATTTTGAATTTGTGGCTCTTAATTGTATCTCTAATCTCCTTTCCTTTGTAAATTCCAATGCAATTTCAGAATACTAAACTGTGTATTATGAACGATAATGCATTATTTATCATTTCCTTGTCATAATTATGTCTATATTTTATCTCAAGCTCTTTCACCACCCCCCACATCTGCATATGCTATTTCCTCTTCTGACATATGCTGAATGTTAAAAAGTGACTATATAGTATTTCATACATAAAACTTTCTGGATTTCTATCCAGTAATTCTATAAGCCTACTCAAATATTCGATCAGCAACACTGTTGAATCTGCTTGTTTCTTTGTCCTAACCTATAACTTTGACTTTCTGATGTGTGAATTTCTCATTTCTTTGCTTGTATATTTGTACTTTTGTCAAATATGTTTCAATAAATTATGATTTTTACAAAATCTTATTAATCATTAACAATGAAACCCAAAGTCATTCTCTGTAAGAAATCCCACTGCCTCTGATTATCCTGAGACTTTGTAAATATTTTAATTATTAACACATACTATATTATTTCTGCTCTTAATACTTTTAAAAATTAAATTATTAATAGAACAAGCATGAATAGATTCATAAATTAAATATTTAAACATAATATTTTGAAATCCATGCCTAGAATTAAAGCAGATATCACCAAATCTTTGATTAGTAGAAATTCCTTTAGTGCTTAGGAAATGCACAGGATAGAATGCTTTCTT